ATGATGTATGTTTATTATAAGGTTTGTACCTATTTCATAAATATACCTCATTGCGGTGAAGTTATTTTTATTTGGTCTAAATTCACTTTAAAAAGTGTTTCTTGATAATTTATACTTTTGTTAGATAACCGAAGTTGTTCGTTGGTGTTTTTACTGGTATGTATATTTTAGATGTATGATCAAGTCTTTTACTTTTATTTAACACTAAATTTATATATTTAAAGGTTAGCTATCGCTACTATAATTTTATTGATTATAAATCGTGGGTCTATTGTAAATGAAAATAATTCGGGCTTTGCTTCAACCTTTGAAACTCGTTTGGTTTTGATTATTCTTGGAGCAGTCGAAGCATTGACCTTAATAATATGGGTTATAATACGTTTTGGTTATCCGAATATAGTAATAGACGCTTATTGGCTCGATACAATTTGGTGGTGGCGTATTAAACAAGCTGATACCAAAGGAATCGAGGGTAAAGCAGTAGGCTGTTTTCGTTATTTTGCGTGGGAGAGTTATAGTGTTTGGTTCAGGCATGGTGTGGTAACCTATAGAGGTGAAGTAGACGAAGATGGTTTTCCTCACGGGTTTGGTGAATGGGTTGATGATTCATTTGATGGTGAATGTTTAAAAGGTACGTATCTCTATAATTTTATACTTTTTAAGTACAATATTTTTGTAGATTTTATCATTACCATCTTTCTAGGAATATGGGAACATGGTGTACCTATCGGTCCATTCCAATCCAGAGGTTCAGGTACTGGAGATGCCTTTCATGCTGTTCGTGTAGGGCTTGTAAAAAACCAATGTACCCCTTGGGATGAATGGAGACTTTTTCCTAGGCAATATCAAAATGGAATTGAAGTTAATGTAGCGTCTGTTGAATGTTCGGTTTCTGGAAAGTATCTTAAACACCTTCCTCGTGCAACTGTTATCGTATCACCAAAGTCTCAAGATTATGATAATGAAAGCTACATATCACCGATTGAATATTGTCTGGGTTATTTGATCA